AATCCTACTCCCTCTTTGTCCCTTTATCCTGTTTAATTTTTCTTCTTAGATATTATCAGCATCAACACTTTATGTGAATATTTTATATGATCTGTTTTCACCCACTGGAATGAAAAGCTCCATCAGAGAAAGGATTTAAGTAAAAAAAAAAAGAAGAAAAAACTGAATAAACACACACTAATCTGGGGGAGGCAAAGGGTACATGAAACAAATGTTTACTCCATGTAAAATTTGTATCCTTTGTTTCTACAAGATGTATTTTATTCTATTGTTTGAATGTTTTATATTGAGCATGTTTCTTTATTAAATAAATATGAAGGTAATGAACACCATGGCCACTGTAATTTTAAGCACCATGTCCACTGTAATTATATGTGGAATTCTTAGGAATGTCATTAAACCTAACTTTGGTAGGGGTTATGTGAGGAGGAAACACTGAGCTAATCTTGATGGATGAATTTAGTTAGCCAGGTGGACAGAGGAAGAAAGGAGGTCAATCTCATGAGAAGCAGCAACTTATACGAGAGTCATGGAAGCATATGATTATAGAATATACAGAGAATTACAGGTAATTTGCATAACTAGAATATATAGTACAAGGAAAGGGAGAGTGATATGAGGCTGTAATGGTAAGCATGGGGCAGATTCTGAGAATGTATTTGCTATAGTAAGGATTTCGACACCACTTGCAATATATTCCTGATAATTCTTGATTCTGACTTTAAAGATCACTTTCCTATAGGCAGCCACATTGTAATTGTAGTTCCCACATCTACTTTTTTTTCCTTATCGTTTATTCTCCATAAAGCAACCAGTTACCCTTTCACCATAGTTCCCTTTATCATCCCCTCTTCAGTTGTATTTATCATAATGTATTATATCTACATACATTGAAAATACATGAGAGAATGTTACAATTTTTACTTTAAAAGATCAAACACACTTTAAACAACTATAGAATACAAGAAGACTTTATTATATTTACTGAGATGCTTAACATTTCTGTTGTTCTTCCTTCATTCTCAGTGCTACAGGCATCTTTTGGGTATTATTTTCCTTCTGTCTGAAGAAGTTCCTTTAATGATTCTTTTAGAACAGATCTGCTGGCAACACATTTTTAAGTTTATGATCCATCTGAGAATATTTTATCTTAATTCCTAAAAGACATTTTCTCTGAATATGGAATTCTGTGTTGAAAATTATTTTCTTTCAGCACTTTATAAATGTTGTTTTACTTCCTTCTGGGCTCAATGAAACAGCTGCAGTCATTAGAATAAATGTTTCCCTATAAGTAATACATCATTTTTCGTTAGCTTTCTTCATGATATTTTCTTTGTCCATAGTTTTCAGCAGTTGGAATAGGACAGCTCTGGGCATGATTCTTTTTCTTTGTTGTTTTTCTGTTTGGGTTTGCTGAATTTTTTGAATCTGTAGCTTAATGTCTTTTCTTATATTTGGGTTATTTTCAGCCTTATTTCTTCAAAGTTTAAAAAATTAACATATTCTTTCTTGTCTCTGTGACTAAAATAACACAAATATTAGTTCTTTCATTATTGACCACAGGTCTTCAGGCTCTATTTAATTTTTTCAATCATTTGCCCTCTACTTTTCAGATCATATACTATAGTCCCCGCTTATCCTCAGGGATTACATTCCAAGACCCCTTGTGGATATTTGAAATGCAGATAGTATCAAACCTTGTATAGACTATGCACACATTTCCTTTTCCTTCTTTACAATTTCATGGATAGAACATTCATTCTTACTGTAGATCTTAATAATCTCAACATATGATTTATTTCATTTCTTTATTAAATTGAAAACTTTCACCTTATTAAGTTTAGCCTAAAGCTGCATCCTTAAATATTTTAAGTTCGGGCTAAAGATTTCTTTGTACATCATGAACTATAACAAGTGGAGATATAAAAAGACCATAGCCTATACTTGTGCCGATCACTGAATTTTGGCCAGTCAAATGTAGCCAACTGTTCAAACCATGTTCAAATAAGGCAAATACTGCCCAGTAACTGATCCAGCTGTTTCTGTGCCTCATTTCCAATTTCTGTAGGTAACTTTCCTTTTTCTGTCCACATATCTTCTTCCACCACGTGGGTATGCTGAAGCCTCGGAGCATACTCTGGCTTGGGATGCTGTCCAATTTGTAAGTCATTCATTGCTCAATTAAACCCTTTAAATTTAATTTGACTCAAGTTTTTCTTTTATCAATCTTTTAACTTAAAAGAAACACCTGATGGCTTCTCTTTTGCATATTTGAATTGCCAGTATTACTACTTGTACCTTGGGGACAATCGTAATTAAAATAAGGGTTACTTGAATCCAAGCTCTGCAATATCACAACAGTTGATATGACAACATATATGGCTACCAAGAGACTAATGGGAGTGTAGAATACACAGTGTGAATGTGCTTTGAAAAAGGGATGATTCATGTCCTCATTGGGGCAAAATGGTATAGTGTGAGATTTCATCATGCTACTCAGAACCACACAAATTTGAAAACTCGTGTATTGTTTTTTCTGGAGTTTCTATTTAATATTTCAGATTTCAGTTGATCATGGGTAAGCAAAACCTTGCATAAGATGGATGACAATAATTTTTATAGCTCTGTCTTAAAGTTCATTTGTTTTTTGTTTTTTTTTCTATCTCTATTCTGCTACTGAGCCTATCTGGTAAGTTTTTAAATTTGTTATTGTAACTTTTAGTTCTAAAATATACATCTGGTTCTTTTTTATATTTTCTATAATCATTCCTCCAAATCTGCAGAGGATTGGTTAATTCCCCTGTGGATACCAAAATCTGTGCATACTCAAGTTCCACAGTCGGCCCTGTGGGACCCTCAGATACCAAAAGGTGGTCTTTGTACACTCAGGTTTTACATTCCGGGAATATTGTATTTTCAATTGATGTTTGGTTGTGGATATGGAATCTGCCCATACAGAGGGCTGACTTTTTATTGAAAAATATCCACTATGTGGACTCACGCAGTTCAATCTTGTGTTGTTAAAATGTCAACTGTATTTTATTTCAAGCTTTCAAGGTTTTGTATCTGCACTCTTTCCTGTACTTTCCTGTATCCTGGGGCTCCCCTTATTAGACTTCTTACTGTATCTTTATTACTCCACTCTACCACACACTTCTTGTGACTCTCTCCACATCTGGTACAAAGCAACAAGATAATAAGAGCATGTTAGTCCATGTTCTCACAGATATAAAGAACTGCCTGAGGCTAGATAATTTATAAAGAAAAGAGGTTAATTGACTTACAGTTCTGCATGGCTGGGGAGGCCTCAGGAAGTTTACAATCCTGGTGGAAGGGGAAGCAGGCATGTCTTACAGGGTAGCAGGTGAGGTGAGAGAAGATCAAGGAAGGAACTTCCAGACACATATAAAATCATCAGGTCTTGTGAGAGCTCACTGACTGTCATGAGAATAGCATGGAGGAAACCACTCTCATAATCCAATCACCTCCCTCCCTTGACCTGTGGGGATTACAGGTCCCTTCTTAGACATGTGGGGATTACAATTCAATATGAGATTTGGATGGGGACACAGAGCCAAACCATATCAAAAATGGTGGGGAAAAATTACCTTATTTCCTTTAATTACAGCTCCTGTGACTGGAAATGAAGGTTTTCCTCCCTTAGAATTTACAGCTCTTGTACTTCCCATTGCTTCCTCAGCCATGGTCTTTGAGCCACTATTGGATTGCTTGGGGGCAGGGACATGAGAGAGTGGAGAACAAGTAAGAAAAACGGAGTTCCTGCATTCTCTGAGTGTTGAGAGATTGCTTTTCCACTCCTTGAGCTTCTTAAGCCAGAACTGGAGGAATTCTCCTGGCACTTTATCTGTTTACAATAAATTCTATTTCCAGATTTCCTGCTGAATTGAGTCCAAGCCAGGAGATGCCAGAGTAAAACAAAAATTAAAACTCACTGTCCTTTCAGCAGTACTTTGATTTCTGATTTTCTTCCCAGTCTCCTTGCCACTTACTCTTCAGAGTTCTCAAACAGCTGCTGCATGCATTCTGTTCCAATTTTATACCTGTATAAGGTACAACAGTGAAATACTAATAAATATTTTCTTGATTATTGAGAGGTTATTATAACTTCTCAAATTAAGAATTTTTGAATGAAATTGTTTTTTTGAAAATAATTTGTATAAGGCAAAATTTAATTTCTCTCTTGTGAAATTTCTTTTCTAGTTATTAAACTACTTGTTATTTTTAATGAAAGAAATAATCTTCTTTGTTGTTTGCTTCTCACAGTATTTGCTACAGGCTCAGTGTGTAATTCATTTTTAAAATTTTTTTACAGTTTTGTACATTCTTATTTGTAGATCTTTGTGTTCTGATAACTCAAAATTTTAAAATGCTTTCAGTGTTTTCACAGAAATAATCAAAAGGTTACATTATGTAATAAAACCAATCACTACAGTACAAAAATATCCTATCAATCAAATTGTTTCAACCATTTTAGTAGTGATTGTTCTTTAAAAAAATTTAAATGTAATATATAACATTTTGCGTATTACTATACTTGTTTCCTTTTTCTTTAAAATTAATAGGTTCATTTTTGTAACATAAATAAATTTAAAAATAAAATTTTATTCACAATAAAATTCTTGAATAATTAGACACAAGGACTAAAATCTTTCTTTAATTTTATATTAAGTGCAGTTATTTATAACTAAAAAAACTGTTCAAGACATATGTTAACTATTAAAAATATAGAGAAAAAATAAAGTGTTCATATGTAGCAAATAATGATCAAAACAGTAACTTATTTCTAGGTTGTCTTTTCATAAAACATGGGTATGGTACAGTTACAAGCAATTGCAATGAGGTTATATTGCAATTGGCATTTTAAAGCTCATGAACGTTTAATGTAATTCTATCTTCACTGCACATTGGAGAATTTAGTCTTATTGGGTTTCAGTTGTTAGAAGTAATTCTAAATATAAGAAATATGGTATCATGGACACTATGAAATGAACTTTTAGACTCTGAGAATCAGGTTTGGATAGAAATGGGTCTAGTATATTTGCCTTTCTTTGTTACCATAATGAAAATGTAATTATGTTGGATGCCTGCTTCCTAGAAGCCTAATCTTCTAATAAGCATACATTTCCTAGGGACCATAACATCAATCCTCTTTAGGATTCTCTAGGAGTGCCTATCAAGAGATGACAAATTTCTTTAAAGGAATCTAGTTTAAAAACTAAATATTTTTGACTTTTTTGTAAGCCATCACTCCTGTCTAAGCATTCATTTCATTACTTCAGTAAATATTTGTTGCCTGCCTACCATGTTCTGTGGGCTTTGCTAGATCTGGGTCTATATTAGTCAGCAAAATACAGTTTCACTCCAAGTTGCAGCCTAGCAGGAAATACAATCCAATAAAATAAGGTTTAATTGTTTCTCTGATAAGAGAGGTATATGATTTTTGGAGCTATGTAGGAGGAACATTTAACTCAAAGAAAGCCTAGGATAATACTCAACACCAAGTATGAATCAAGCAAGTAAAGAGATGTTAGAAGAGCTTTTTGACTTGTGAGAAACTCTGTGTAATGTGCACTCCTGAGACTTGTAGCCTGTAAATCGTGATGCTTTATTGTCCCACTTCAAGGTTATTTTGTCTCTTCTAAAGAGTGAGTGCCTGGCAAAATTTACACTTTTTCTCAACATTAAATAATGCTGAGGTTCTAATTAATATACAATTTTGATCAGATACAAATGAATAAAAAACAGTGATAAATCATAAAGAAACATTAATGCTCTCATGCATCACTGTCAACTACTAATAAATAATTTTATATGTATATTGTCTCCTTGGCCAAGCATCCAAGCATATTGTAATGGTTCTTGATGGCATCTATTAGCAGCTTACCTTCACTGTTATCTTGTCTGACAGCAGATCCATTTATCTATTTGCTTGTCTTAACAGTTTTATTTCCAGGTTTCTTCCACATTTCTTATTCCTTGGGGATCATTCTATCCTTGTGAAATATAAATACCATTTCTGTTAGATTCATTACCCATTTTATCTTCATTTCTCTAGACAAATCACCATGGCTTTGAAGTGTAGAATATATTATTTAAATTCCTCTGCTAGCTTGCTCTCAGATAACTTTTGTTTGCTTTCCTCTTCTTGTCATTGGAAGTTGCATTTCTGAGTGTATTCCTTCAAGTTAATTTCTGAATATTCTTCTATAGCATAGTAAGAGAAAAACAATCTTGATTGGCTGGCCAATGGTAATGAATGGAGTGTAGACCAGTCTATAGGGTCCAAAGCCTTAAGAGAGAAAGAACAAGAATAAAAGTTGGTGGTGTAGCTAAATATTTTTGTAATCATGTACGAGAGGATTTGTGATCATGATAATTTACTTCAAGTTATTTGCAGGTGAACTTCAGACTTCTGTGAGTGACACCACATGGGGTCCTAGATGCTCTGATGGAGAACCTGGGTATTACAAAATATGTGAGTAGGTGGGCTTCTGTTAAATGGGGTACTTAAAGAAGAACTATTCAAGTTGCCCAGGTTGTACTTGAATGGGCACAGCCTTAAGAATGCAATGAGCTCAAGTGTTAATATATGCCCACTGGACTGTAGATTCCATGAAAGGCCATATTATGCCTTTCAATAAATGCTGTAGAATAAGACATGAACTACAATACTGTGCTCTTCACAAAAGGCAACCTTATCTGCCTCTTTAGAGAGAGTGAGATTGTATTATCATATAAGAGAAAATAAAGACTGTACCCCTTTAGGTTCTTTGTGTGTATTTGTGGTTGAGGGAGTAGGCAATTTTGGAGAGATAAACACATTGGATATCATTTGATTCCTATATACATTGAATATTTTACAGAACATTATACTCTAAGGAGATTTGTTTACTTTAAAATCAAGAGGTCATAAGGAATCATAAAGAGCTAAATTTATGTTGTCTGTTTTACCATGAAACCATTTATTATTAATATAAAGCAATAAGAAAGAATGCCCTATAATTAATGGTCTCAAAGTGAAAATGATATGACTAGCCTTTTTCACTGAAAGCAATTTCTATTCTGTTATTTAATTACTCTGTTGCTTAATTTTAAGATTTTATTATGTCTTTAAATCATGATTACTATAGGAAATATGATGCTTTTCTACTTCCTAACCACCTCTTATCCAAGCATCCATAATCTCTTATAATACTATTTTGTACTATCATATTTATTTTAAAATGAAAAGTATTAGATTTTTTATTATAGTGACAGAATCTGATTGTGGTAGTTGAATAAAGCAACATTTACTTAAGTCAAAGAATTAGAATATGAATATACATTGATATTGAGATGTACATAACTTTGAAAAATTTAATGGCAGAAATACTAAAGAATAAAATAATTTTTACAAGTATAAATTCAAAGTTCTAGAAAATTTATGTTGAAAATTGCTTAAAATTTTTATTATGAGGCTTTTAGGAACATTTTATATCTTGATAATATAAAATACAGCAAAGAGAACTCAGATATTCAGAATTTCCTAGGATCACATCTCTGACTTAATGAAATTCAATTCAAAAGACAAATACAGACATATAGTTTAAAAAATATGCTATGAGCTGGTAGTAGTCTGTAGAGAATGTATACTTTAACAAAAAAAAACAGTAGGATAACTTCAAAACAATGCCATGGTTGGAGCTTTGATAATGGCATGCACAACATGCACATAAGCGGAAACTTAACATTAGCTGGATGGAATGTGATGTTTTTTCTAGGATTAGCTTCCTGCCTTATAAAAGAGCACAGTTAGGGGCTCTTGATTCTATACTCTCTAAAATCCAGAATAATACTGAGGAATTAACTGGGGTAACCTGGGAGATAAGAGTGCTTACCCTAGTAGTTTCGGTGGTTTGGAAAGCATTGGCAGATGCCCTCATTCCACAGAAGTAACTCCAGAATAGGGCACCATGATTAGAATTGAGGGACTGCAATGTTAACCAACCCAATGGTGACTTGGTAATTTAGCATATCTTTACTATTCTTTTTGAGGTAGGACCCTCAGATAGACACTCTTTTGGAGATAGTGAACTTCTCCTCTTCACCTTCCCTCCCACTGCTCCAGTCTCCCAAAGACAAGGAAAAGTGAATCTAGGAAATGAAGCAGTGAGAGTAGAGAACCTAAGAAAAAATAGAGATGATATATTAATCAACTAAGAATTACGTTATGACATTTGCATAATCAGTTTTACCTGTGCCCAACGCGGAGGAACTCTGTAGATGCCAGGGAGGTGAGTTTTGGAGAAATGGTGAGGAGAGGAGCTCCTCTTACAGCAGCAGCAGAGCAAGGCATGCTGGTATTGGGCTCCTTAATCCAGCAAGGTTTACCTTACTGGGCTGGGGAGCACACAAAGTGTTTATCTTGATGTTTACCTAGAGTTATAGGCACAAGTACTGAACTTGTGTGTTGAAAGGGTGCACCATGGCCTAGTTCCAATCAGGTAAAGTTGGAGAGAGTAACCTGGGCTTCTTAGGAGCAAAATGAAGACTTAAAGAAACGTATTCTTTTTAAGGGGACTTATTTCTGGCAGGGATTTTCCTAAAACTGGGAGGTTTTGGCTCTCTATAAACTCAAATTTCCTGGAAATAATATTTTGTATATCCTAGAAGTAATAGTATCCTAGTAATAATAGTAAAAGTAATAATTCATCCTGAAAGATATGATTCTGAGGGCATTGGCTGATTATTGCTGGCAGTGAAAGTAGCTGCTGTGGAATATTCTAGGTGTATAATATTTAATTAAGTTATTGGAGAAGTTAAAAAATTACAAAAGGACACAGGTTTAGTTTTGTTTGTGCTAATGGGCTAATGGAAGTTCACTTTGATACTTATCTTACAATATTTTCGACTTCGGTATCGTCAACTTGAATGAAAATTATTATAATTAGAAATAAGCACATGATAATATAAAACATGCAAAAAGTATAGAAGAATGCTAGGGAAAGGAGATTGCTGATGAATCTAAAGAAAATTTCTTATAGAAGATTAGTTCTTTCTGGAAGGATGTAATAGGTGCAGATTGACGTCTATGTTTTAATTTGTATTGAGCAACTCATGTAACCATGTCAAAGGCTTTTCGCCTTCAGCATCTCACTTTATCCAGACAAAATTTCTATAGCTATTACCAAAATAATTGGATCAACAAAGAAACTAAGCCATAAAGAAGTTAAAATATCATCTAATGATACATTTGATTAGCCGGATATCTGAGACTTGAAGCCAAATCTCCTGTGTTCTGGTCCATAGGATGTATTTTCTTTCCTGTTTTATCCCTGATATAATATAAGTAACAAGGAATAGACTACAAATATATGGATATTCCAATAATTTTTCTATTAATTTAAAAGCAAAAAATAGTTCATCTATTAAAAGTAATTATACAAAACCCAATTATGACCAAATCCCAAGAAGTTAGGGAAAAATGAATTCTTATCAAAGATCAGGTCAACTTAGTCAGATAACATATACTAAGCAAATTTTTTTTTAAGACAAAGTCTCCTTCTATTGCCTAGGCTGGAGTAGTGCAGTGGTGTGATCTCAGCTCACTGCAACCTTGGCGTTTTGGGTTCAAGCCATTCTCCTGCCTCAGCCTCCTGAGTAGCTGGCACCATACATGTGAGCCACCATGCCCAGCTAATTTTTGTGTTTTTGTAAAGATGGGGGTTTTATCATGTTAGCTAGTCTGGTCGTGAACTCCTGACTTCAAGTAACCCACCGGTCTTGGCCTCCCAAAATGCTGAGATTACAGAAGTGAGCCACCACGACTGGCCTGCAAGTAGCTTTTCTTAAGGCAATACAATATTAGCCTTTGAAAGTTCTCCTCATGAGGGTCCATATAGACAATTTGTTTTGTTGACCAGCACCCAGATCTAAGTGATATGTCAAGGTGTTTTCCCATTATTTTGCCATGATGTGTCTGGAAATGGAACTGGATGTGATATTCTGGTCCTGGGCTCTCATTTCTGAGTCCAGGAAGTGTTAGAGAGGGGTTAGATTGTTAGCAATTAACTCTATGTTTTTCTCAAAAGCAAGGAGGAAGTTTTGCCCACCACTAATTGTTCCACATGTGGTTATTGCCTATCATAAGCTACTACTTCTAGGCTAATTAAAAATGGCTTGTGTGCCAAGCAAAGTTACCGTCACATATCACACTTTATTCTCATTCTGGTTTGTTTTCTTTAGGATTTCAAACTAAGAAATCCCTTCTTGAGTTATAGTCTTTTCTTCTTTCTCCCCATATCTTCCCACATTTTTGCCTCTTTTGAGTTTGTACTTCATCTTTGGCTCCAGATATTTTAATTACTAGATAACAACTGTCCTAATTTTAGAACACAGAGATAAAAGATACATTTTCAGCCATCAAGGAGCTCGCAGTCTAGCAAGAATTGGCAAAAAAGGAATCAGAAAATGACAATACTGTGTGGCAAAAGTATTAGAAATTATTGCTGGTACCATGTCTCTTTTTAGTAGTGTGATCTTGGTTAACCATATAAAACACAAGCAGAGATTTGAGACTAAGTAGAAAAAGCCCCAGTGTATTACTTTTTAATTGCTGCATCACAAATTGCCCCAGAATTTAGTGGTCTAAAAAACCATTTATTATTTGGCATTTTCTATGGGGCAGGAATTTGGACCTGAATTAGCTGGGTCTTCTGACTAACAATGACTACAGCAACAATGCTGCTTTCATCCACATTGAGGCTGTAGACATCACAAGGTTTATCTGGGTTGGATCTACTCCCAGGCACACTGAGGTAGTTATTGGCAAGATTCAGTTCCTTGCGAGTTCCTGGACTGAAGGCCTTAGTTCTTTGCTGCTATTGTTTGGAGACCACCTTCAGCTTTTATCAGGTGTGCCTCTCCATAGGACAGCCCACAACAAGGCAGCTGGCTTCATCCTAGTGAGCAAGTTAAAGGATGTGAGAGAAAGTGCAAGCAAGCAAGGAGTCATAATCTTATAGCCTAATCTCAGAAGAGTCATCCATCACTTTTGCCATATTCTGTTTGTTAGAAGCAAGTGACTAGGTTCAGCCTTCACTAGGTTCAGCCTATACTCAAAAAAAAAAAAAAAAAAAAAAAAAAGACGTCACACAAGGGGATAAACAACAGGAGTTAAGAATCACATGGGGCCAGTTTGGAAGCTGCCTACTACACCCAGAATAAAACATCTATCAAAATATCCATAAACTTTTTCTAAAAAAAGGTAGAGTATATTTTCCAGGCCTAAAAGTAGCTTATAATTAATTACTGAATTGACAAAATATCTCATTTCTTTAGGTACAGAATGTACCAGATTGGAAGCAGCCAAAAGGGTTAAACAAAACTAAAGCACGAAGAGGTGAAAAGCACCTGCCATTTATTATGTCTGTATACAAGAAACCGTCGGCTGCCTCCATACATTTGTTTCAGTTAACCTTCGTAAAACGTTGCATGAAATAGAGAAGCAGCCTATCTTAGTGGCAGGGCTGTTTCACAGAGCTGTGCAGGTGGTACCCTGAAGAACAATGAAGCCATCTCTGACAGCGCAAGCAATACATCATGGATTGTCCTCCTAGTGGCCCATGATTCCTTGGGTCTAGAATCAGTACTTCGTTACTAATGCTGTGATCTTCACAAGTTGCTTAACATCTCTAAGACTTAGTTTCCTCATTTCTAGAATAAGGAGGTCATAACATTAACTAACTCTCAGGCCTGCTATGAAGATAAAATGAGATCATCATCATCATCGTCATCATCACTTATTCAATGCTTACTACAATCTTGGCACTCCTCTAAGTGTTATACAAGTATTTTAACTCTAACAATAACTCCACAAGGAAGGCATTTTTATGATCTTTTAACCAATGAGGAAAATATGATATGGAAAGTTAAAAAACTCTGTGTATGTTCACAGAGCTAGGAACTAGTCTGACTCCAAAGTCTGAGTTTTTAATCTCATTATACTATCTCTCATCATTGTGGAGTCAGTGCTGTAGTACAGTATCTGACAGTTAGTACATATTCAATATTAGCTCTTTCTTAGTCTTATCCCATTTTACTAATCGGAAAATAAAGACTTATAAGTGGTTAACAACTTATCTAAAAAGTAATTCTGACCTTAAACGAGAGACCCAAGATTTTTAAACCATGTACGTGGATCCATAGCACATGGCATTCTTTGTTTTGCTTTGTTTTATTCAGAATAATTATGCCAATCATGACATGATCTTTGTCTAAAGGTAAACAACTCTACATGACTCACCCCTCAGGGCATTGCTACATTGTAGCACAATGCGAACACTGAAGTGTATAAGAATGATTCAAGACCATCAAAAAAGGATAAATTTTATATGATATACTTTCTGTAAGAAGGACTAAAAGTGTATGATACATTTTAGATTTCCAACAAATTTATTAAAATAAAATCAGTTCAATCATATAGTGGGTGAGCTTCAGCTACCTGAAAAATTGATTGATGTTGAACACCTTATTCCTGAGCAATGTCAGTGAAATGAAGTGTGGCTATATGAAATAAGAGGGATAGTAAATGCAATAGCTTTGGATATTTACCTACAAAATGAACCACAACAGTCTTAGTTCAGTTTCCATATCAAACTGTAAACAGAGAATGTTCTGCAACCCATGAAAATCATCATATTAAAGGAATGTGATCCACAAAATGTATTCCATTTTTAAAAAGGCATATATACCCATCCACTAGCTATACCTTTTCCATATAGTTACATACATCTGATGAAATTATTAATCATCCACTTTTCTTTATGCAGCTGTTATCAAATTATAGAAAATAGAGCTGTTAAATTAAGTGTTATTTTGTAAAGAAAACAAGCATTTTACCTGTGAAAATATATGAACCAGCAAAGGAATGTGATATAAATTCATTATTTTCAGCCTAAATTGGGCTCTCAACACTAGTTGAGGAAAAAAAACCCCTTAAATAGCTCTGTAATCATCATGCTAGCCTCATCTTACAAAATATCTAGATTAACTTCTTTTGATTTTCCACCCATCTTTCTGGCTTCTCTGCTTTAAGTGACTTTTGGAGCTTGTCTTTCTTTTTTCTTTATTTATATCCTGATGATAACATTTAGTTTCATATTGTTGAAAATGTTCAGGTGCCACTCTGATGGCATGCACACTTGAGTGCAGATGCTGCTGCCACTGCCCCAATGGAAAGCTTTGGCTGGCACCCTCCCATCAGAATGTTTTTTGTCAGCAGACCAGGAACACCTCAGCCCTTTCAGTGCAGCAGGTGCTTAACCTTGAGGGGTCAAAGAACAAAGCCTGGCACCAGTCCCCGAGGGTTAGAGCATAAAGCCCAGGAGTGCTGATGTGAGCCTTGAGTCCCCCAAAATCTATCATAAACAAAGCCAGTCAAGTGAAGTTAGCTTATACTACAGTCAAACCCCCAAGGGCATCAAATAATATAAAAGCAAAAACCCTATCCAAAGGACAGCAACTTCAAAGATTAAAGGAACATGAGGCTACACAAATGAGAAAGAACCAGCACAAGAACTCTGGCAACACAAAAAGTCAGAGTATCTTCTTTCTTCCAAATAATTGCATTAGTTCCTTAGCTATGGCTCTTAACCAGGCAGAAACGGCTAAAATGACAGATACAGAATTCAGAATCTGGATAGAAATGAAGATCATTGAGATTCAGGAGAAAGTCAAAACCCAATATACGGAATCTAAAGAAACTAATAAGATGATACAAGAGCTGAAACACAAAATAGCCATTTTAGGAAAGAACCAAACTGATCTGATTGAGCTGAAAAACTTAATTACCACAAGAATTTCATAATACAATCACAAATATTAATAGAAGAATACACCAAACTGAGAAAAGAATCTGAAAGCTCAAACACTGGTTCTTCGAGTCAACTCGGTCAGACAAAAATGAAGAAAAAAGAGTAAAAAGAATCAATAAAACCACTGAGATAGATGGAATTACCTAAAGAGACTAAATGTGTAACTTATTGGTGTCCCTGAAAGAGAGGAACAGAAGGAAAGCAACTTGGAAAACACATTTGAGGATATTATCCAAGAAAATTTCTCCAACTTTGCTAGAGAGTTTGACAAATTCAGGAAATGTAGAGAATCCCTGTGAGATACTATACTAGACAACTATCCCCAAGACATGTAGTCATCAGATTCTCCAAGGCCAATATGAAAGAAAAAATAATAAAGGCTGCCGAAGAGAAAGGGCAGGTCACCTGCAAGGAAACTCCATCAGGCTAACAATGAACCTTTCAGCAGAAACCCTACAAGCAATAGGAGATTGAGGGTCTATATTCAGCATTCTTAAAGAAAAGGAATTCTTTTTTTGTTGTTGTTTTCTCCTTTTTTTAAAAATAATTATACTGGATAGTAGCCCTTTGCTAGATGGGTAGATTGCAAAAATTTTTTCCCATTCTGTTGGTTGCCAGTTCACTCTATTGATAGTTTCTTTTGCTGTGCAGAAGCTCTTAAGTTTAATTAGATCCTATTTGTCTATTTTGGCTTTTGTTGCCATTGATTTTGGTGTTTTAGTCATGAAGTCCTTGCCCATGCCTATGTCCTGAATGGTATTGCCTAGGTTTTCTTCTAGAGTTTTTACGGTGTTAGGCCTCATTTTAAAATCTTTAGTCCATCTAGAATTAATTTTTATGTGAGATGTAAGGAAGGGATCCAGTTTCAGCTTTCTGCATACAGCTAGCCAGTTTTCCCAACACTATTTATTAAACAGGGAATCCTCCCCCCATTGCTTGTTTTTGTCAAGTTTGTCAAAGATCAGATGGTTGTAGTTGTGTGGCATTCTTTCTTTCTTTTTTTTTTTCCAATTTATTTATTTTATTACATTTTAGGTTTTGGGGTACATGTGAAGAACATGCAACATTGTTGCATAGGTACACACGTGGTGGTGTGATTTGCTGCCTTCCTCCCCATCACCTATATCTGGCATTTCTCCCCATGCTATCTCTCCCCCCCTCCCCACCCCCCACTGCCCCTCCCCTATTTCCCCACAACTGACCCCAGTGTGTAGTGCTCCCCTCCCTGTGTCCATGTGTTCTCATTGTTCAACACCCACCTATGAGTGAGAACATGTGGTGTTTGATCTTCTGCTCTTCTGTCAGTTTGCTGAGAATGATGGTTTCCAGGTTCATCCATGTCCCTACAAAGGACACAAACTCATCGTTTTTGATGGCTGCATAATATTCCATGGTGTATATGTGCCACATTTTCCCTGTCCAGTCTATCATCGATGGGCATTTGGGTTGGTTCCAGGTCTTTGCTATTGTAAACAGTGCTGCAATGAACATTCGTGTTCATGTGTCCTTATAGTAGAATGATTTATAATCTTTTGGATATATACCCAGTAATGGGATTGCTGGGTCAAATGGAATTTCTATTTCTAGGTTCTTGAGGAATCGCCTGTGTGGCATTCTTTCTGAGGCCTCTGTTCTGTTCCATTGATCTGGATTTCTGTTTTGGGTACCAGTACCATGCTGTTTTGATTACTGTAACCTTGTAATATAGTTTGAAGTCAGGTAGCATGATGCCTCCAGCTTTTTTTTTTTTTTTTTTTTTTTTTTTTTTTTTTTTTTTTTTTTTGCTTAGGATTGCCTTGGCTATGCAGGCTCTTTTTTGATTCCATATGAAGTTTAAAGTAGTTTTTTTCCAACTCTGAGAATAAAGTCATTGGTAGCTTGATGTAGATAGCATTGAATGTATAAATTACTTTGGGCAGTTTCTAACCAAGAATTTTGTATTCAGCCAAATTAAGCTTTATAAGTAAAAGAGAAATAACTTTCTTTTTAGACAAGCAAATGTTAAGAGAATATGTTACTACCAGACCAGCCTTACATGAGTTCCTTAAGGGAGTGCTAAACATGGAAATGAAAGACTGTTACTGGCCATCACAAAAACACACTTAAGTACATAGACTATTGACACTATAAAGCAACTATACAATCAAGTCTGCATAACAGCCAGCTAACAACATGATGACAGGACCAAAGCCACACGTATCAATATTAGCCTTGAATATAAATGAGTTAAATACCCCAATTAAAAGGCACAGAATGGCACGCTGGATAAAGAAGCAAGACCCAACTGTATGCTCTCTTCAAGAGACCCATCTCATATGCAGTGACACTCATAGGCTCAAAGTAAAGAGATGGAGCTAATTTCAGACAAACAGACTTTAAACCAACAACAATAAAGAAAGACAAAGAAGATTATTACATAATTTTAAAGGGTTTAATTCAACAAAAGACTTAGTTATTCTAAATATATGTGTGCCAAACACTGGAACACCTAGATTCATTAACAAAGGTTCTTAGATGCCTATGAAGAGACTTAGATAACCACACAATAAGCATGGGAGTCTTCAAAATCTCACTGACAGAACTAGATATATCATCATGACAGAAAACTTACAAAGATATTCAGGACCTGAATTAAACACTTGACCACATAGATCTAACAGACATCTGCAGAGCATACCACCCAATAACAATAGAATATACTGTCTTCTCATTTGCACATGGCACATACTATAAAACTGATCACACAATCAGCCATAAAATAATTCTCAACCCATTAAAAAAAAACCCCAAAATAATAACAACCACACTTTTCGACCACAGTGCAATAATATGAGAAGTCAATACCAAAATTATACAACTACATTGAAATTAAACAACTTCCTCCTGGATGACTTTTGGGTAAGCAGTTAAATGAAGGCGGAACTCAAGACATTATTTGAAACTAATGAAAACAAAGATACAACATATAAGAATCCCTGGGATGGGCCAGGTACGGTGCCTCATGCCTGTAATCCCAGCACTTTGGGAGGCCAAGGTGGACAGATCACTTGAGGCCAGGAGTTTGAGACCAGCCAGGGCAACATGGTAAAACTCTGTATCTACTAAAAATACAAAAATTAACTGGGTGTGGTGGCACATGCCTGCAATCCCAGCTACTTGAGAGGTTGGGGTGCAAGAATTGCTTGAACTTCAGTGAGCTGAAATCACACCCTGCATTCCAGCCTGGGTGACACAGCGAGACTATCTAAAAGAAAAATCTCTGGGATAAGCTAAAACAGTGTCAATAGAAAAGAGCAATCTCAAACTAACAACTTAACACCACACCTAGAGAAATGAGAAAAACAAGACAAACCAACCTCAAAGCTAGCTAGAAGGAAAGAAATAACCAGCATCAAGCTGAACTGAAAAAAGATGATCTAAATATCAGAAATGACAAAGGGAACATTACTATCAATTCCACAGAAATAAAAATAATCCTCAGATACTGTTATGAACACCTTTTTGCACACAAACTAGAGAGCTTAGAAGAAATGAGTAAGTCACTGGAAACATAAAACCTCCAAAGGTTGAACCAGGAGGAAACTGACAGCCCAAACAGACCAATAACAAGCTCTGAAATTGGATCAGTAATGAAAAGCCTAGTGACTTAAAAAGCCCTGAACCAGACACATTCACAGCTGAATTATATCAGAGGTATAAAGAAGAGCTGGTACCAATCCTACTAAAACTATGCCAAAAAATTGAGGAGGAAGGACTTTTTCCTACCTCATTCTAAGAGACCAGCATCATTCTGATACCAAAACCTGGCAGAGACACAACAAAACAAAAAAACAAAACTTGGGTCCAATATATTTGATGAACATAAATATAAAAATCCTCAACAAAATACTAGCAAATCAAATCCAGCAGCATATCAAATAGATAATCGACCTTGATCAAGTAGGCTTTATTCCTGGGATGCAAAGTTGGTTTAATATACACAAATCAAAAAATGTGATTCACCACATAAATAGAAGCAAAAAACAAAATCACATGATTATCTCAATAGATGCAGAAAAGGCTTTTAATAAAATTCAACATTGCTTCATGTTAAAAACTTTCAGTAATCTAGGAATTGAAGGAATATTCCTCAAAATAATAAGAATCATCTAGGACAAACCCACAGCCAGCACCATATTCAATGGGCAAAAGCTGGAAGAAGTTCCCTCAGCACCAGAAAAAACAAGGATGCCCATGCTCACCACTCCTATTCAATATAATACTGGAAGTCCTAGACAGAACAATCAGGCAAGAGAAAAAAATAAAATTATTCAATTAAGAAAAAAGGAAGTTAAATTATCTCTGTTCACCGATGACATGGTTGTATATTTAGTAAACTTAAAGACCCTCCAAAAGACAGCTATTCTTGACAAACAACTGTAGTAAAATTTCAGCTTATAACATTCAGGAGCATTCCTTTACATCAACAATGTGCAAGCTGAGTGCCAAATCAAAAATGCAATCCCATTCACAATAGCCACAAAAAATAAAGTACCTAGGAATTCAGCTAACTAGTGAGGTGAAAGATTTCTACAATGAGAATTATGAAATACTTATAAAAGAAATCAGAGATGACACACAAAAAAATGGAAAAACACTTCATGCTCATGCATAAAACCCTAGTGTTAAAATGGTCACACTGCCCTAAGCCATTTATAGATTTCATGCTATTTCTATCAAACTACTAATGATATTTTACACAGTATTAAAAAGAACTATTCTAAAATTCATATGGAACCAAAAAAGATTCTGAATAACCAATGCAATCCTAAGGAAAAAGAATAAAGCCAGAGGTACCACACTACCTCACTTCAAATGACACCACAAGGCTGCAGTAACCAAGACAGCATGGTACTTGTATAAAAACAAACACAGACCAGTGGAACAGGTTAGAGAACCAAGAAATAAAGCCACATACCTACAACCATCTGATTTTCAACAAAGTCAGCAAAAGCAAGCAATGGAGAAAGGACTCCCTATTCAATAAGTGGTGCTGTGCTAACTGGCTAACCATATGCAGATTATAGAAACTGGACCACTTCCTTCATTATATGCAAAAATCGACTCAAGATTGATTAAATACTTAGATTTAAATTAGAAAACCATAAAAAATCCTAGAAGGAAACATAGAAAATATCATTCTGGACACAGGCATTGGCAAAGATGTCATGACAAAGATGACAAAAGCAATTGCAACAACAAAAAAAGACAAATGGCAACTAATTAAATGAAAGAGCTTCTGCATAGCAAAAGAAACTTTGAAGAGTAAACAGATAACCTACAGACTGGGACAAAATATTTGCAAACTATGCATTCAACAAACTTCTAACTTCAGAATCCATAAGGAACTTAAACAAATCAACAAGCAAAAAATAAGCAACCACATTAAAAATGGGGCAAAGGATGTAAATAGATACTTCCTGAAAGAATACATACACATGGCCAGCAAGCATATGAAAAAATGCTCAATATCACTAATCATTGGAGAAATGCGAATAAAAACCACAATGAGATACCATGTCATTTAGACTAGTCAGAATAGCTAATATTAAAAAGTCAAAAAATAACAGATGCTGCAAGGTTGTGGAAAAAAGGGAATGCTTATACAGTACACTGCTGGTGGGAATGTAAACTAGTTCAGCCACTGAAGAAAGCAGTTTGGAGATTTCTCAAAGAATTTAAAACAGAATTACCATTTGACTCAGCAATTCCTTACAGGATATATACCTGAAGGAATGTAAATTTTTCTACCATAAAGACACATGCATGCGTATGTTCATTACAGCAGTATTCACAGTAGCAAAGACATGGGTTCAACCTAAATGCCCAAAAATAATGGACTGGATAAAGAAAATGTAGTACATAAAATCACAGAATACTACACATCCAAAAAAAAGAATGAGATCATGTCCTTTGCAGAAACATGGGTGAAGCCAGAGACCATTATCCTAAGCGAATTAATATAGGAACGGAAGACAAAATTCTGCATGTTCTCACTTATAAGTGGGAGCTAAACATTGAGTACACAAAGACTCTAAGAAGAGAACAATAGGCACCGGGGCATACAAGAGGGTGGAGAGTGGGAGGAGAGTGAGGATTGAAAAACTTCCTGATGAGTATTACACTTAGTAGCTGCGTGATGAAATAATCTGTACACCAAATCCCCATAACACACAATTTACCTATTTAACAAACCCACACATGTACCTCCTGAACCTAAAATAGAAGTTGGAAGAAAAAATAAAATGGATAAATTTCGCATGTCCTCCCTAAAACAAATGCAGTTAAGAAAAAAGAAAAAAAGAGAAAATGTTAAGAAGTTAGTTTAATAAATTGATTTAAGCATGTGGCCATTGTAGTCAGAACTACTTTAGATACCTGTTCTTTATTTGCCAGCTAGGAAACTGGAGCAGATTCCTTAAATTCTTCAAATTTTCACTTTCCTTCTAAGTAAAATGGACCCAAAAGTAGTTGGTTTTCCAGACCCACCTCACAACATTGTCCAAAAGATTAAATTATATAATTCATATAAAACTCTCAGTAAAGTGCCAGTCAAGTAGTAAGAGATCAGTAGATGTTAACTGTTATTGTTAATATGATTGTTGTTAATAATATATTTTGCTAATATCATTATTTATCAACGTCATTATTTTGAAGAGCTGAGAGCTTCCAAGTCTGTAACTTCAGTTCAGGTCCCTTTTTTGGGGTCGGGGCCTGCCTCTATCTTTCAAAACAATGCATCTGCTCAACTCTATTTCTGTGACTGTTAGCTTTGCTTGTGACTTGGCTGAATCTCTGGAAAAAGCAATGCCATTAACTCTGTGTAATGGAATCCTAAATGGCTCTTTAATATTCCAGGTTCTTTCAGTTATCAGAACAGTTCTGTTTCAATATTTAATCTTTACTCTTATACATTTTATGATTTTGGCCTCAAACTCTATTTAAAGCTCTCTTTTTTCTTCAAAAGATACCTAGAGTTTTCATGTCTTCAGCAGCTTGGAGTGGAGTTTCCCTCAGCTCTCTTTACCTTCTAGTGCTAGATCCTCTCTTAGGTTCAGGTGGAGAGGAAGGAGAGGGAACAGGCAAACTCCCGTCTGAACTGGGAGTAGAAGCAGTTACTTGTTAATTGATGAGAAGTCCCTAGCTCACACTGGTTATTTCTGTCACAGAGCACAGGAGGGCCCTGGTCAGGTTTCCTGCTGATTCTCTGATACAGCAGATCTAGCTCTGGCTTGGTATTGTCCTCCTGCTCCTCCTCCCCTTAGCTCCTTCCTTATTCCACAGCATCTTGCTGCTGGGGTCCCTCTTGGGAGAAGTTTCTGCAAGATAGCTCTAACTCAGCTCCCTCTGAGGTGTCTGTTTGCCCCAGCTTTCAGAGTATAAGATGAGTCCCACTGTTTCTCTCTCCTTTGGCCCTTTCTTTCTTCTCTTTTCTCAGCTCATTGTGACCAAGGGGCAGATTAGTGAGTCTGCTGGTTCCACAAGTGTACAACTAGAGAACAAAATGCTCTTCTTTTCTCGCAGAAACCCTACTATTGCATAAGTGATCTTCATGATGCTCCCCATTCCCCATGGAGTTTGGAAGGAGAAGCATTCCTGTAGCCTTCTGTTGATAAGGGAAGAAGAATCTTCCTGCTTGGACACTGGGATTCTGAAAAGGCCATGCGCTCTCCTATCTCACAGTCTTCTTTCTTTTACTTTGTTTGTTTTCTCTTTTTAATTGTTTATTTCTGACTTCACAGTCTTGTATGTGTTTTGAC